GGATACTTGACAAGCTAGAGGATGATCCTACAAATTCTGAAACTTTCGGGGGGAAGATTTTGCAATTTCTGGAACTTCTAGTAGTAGTTCTGCAACTTCTAGAACTTTCTGGGGTATTTCTGTAATTTTTTGAATCTGCTGGGGACAATTCTAGTTTTTTTTTTAACTGGACAGTGAGATTTTTATTACGATGAACAGTAATTTCAACGAACATATTTTTTTTTCCCAATGAACAGTGTTACTGAGATTTTTGTGATTTGTACGAATCAAAGTTAAGTTCTGATATCAAATTGATGTAGATCGTATTAAAAAAAGAATTAGGAATGAGAAGAGAAGAAGTGGAAGAGAATAAAAAGAAGAAGAAGGGGATGAGAATAAAGAGAGAATTTGAGGAAGAATGATTCAATATCAATAATCAAAGTCTAGTCTCACAACAAATATGTATTCCCTATATATATATATATAAGGAGTTCACAAATCCTATATATATAAGGAGATCACAAACCCTAAAATAAATAAATAATTAAAATGACAACTAAACCCTTAAAAGTTAAAAAAAAATATTTAAAAAATAAATACTAAATTACTCTCATGATTAATCTAAAATATCTATCCAATTCCTACATGATCCTCATCACATTGTCATTTATTAAATGTTGCCCGCACCTTGATGTTTAACATGTATATGTCAAAAACATATTGGGATGATGTTCTTACTTCAGTTTATCTTATTAATCGCATGTCTTCTCCCATTTTGGATAACAAATGTCCCTTCTTATTGCTTTACCCTGATAGACCGCCTTTTGGACTCAATCCTTGTGTCTTTGGTTGTGTTACATTTATTCATCTTCTTGGTCTGGGTAGAGATAAACTTTCGCCTAGGTTAAGTGTATTTTTTTGGGATATTCTCGTACTCAAAAAGGTAATCGATACTATGACCCTATCTCTCGCCGATGCTAGCTACCTTTATTGAGTCATCATCTTTCTTTTCTATACTAGGACATACACTTTCACCAGATTTAGTCTTTCCCAATCAAGGGAGCGCTTGTTGCTTGTTATACCAGACCATGTTTCTTCTTCCTCCTTAACTACTACCCCTACCTTACAGGTTTATCATCCNATATTCTCGTACTCAAAAAGGTAATCGATACTATGACCCTATCTCTCGCCGATGCTAACTACCTTTATTGAGTCATCGTCTTTCTTTTCTATACTAGGACATACACTTTCACCAGATTTAGTCTTTCCCAATCAGGGGAGCGCTTGTTGCTTGTTATACCAGACCATGTTTCTTCTTCCTCCTTAACTACTACCCCTACCTTACAGGTTTATCATCCTTCCAAAGACAGATTATTCCATATGCTCCTGCTCTACAGTTATCACCAGATTCTACTAAGGTCCTTCCTTTTGAGTCATCAACTAGTTCATACTCTTCTGATTTGCCTATTACTCTAAGGAAAAGTACTCGTAATTGTACTAGACATCCAATTTCTAATTTTTCTTCATTGCATCGGCTGTCCTTATCATTATGTTGTTTTGTCTCTACTTTGTCACCTGTGGTTGTTCCTAATTCTTTGACACAGGCTTTGACACCTCCTGAATGCTATGGATGAGGAAATGAAAGCACTTCCTGAGAATCAGACTTGGCATCTCACTTCACTTCCTCTTGAAAATAGCCCGTTAGTTATCATTGGGTCTACGTAGTAATATCTTCCAGATGGCTCCGTCGAGTGTTTAAAGGCTCAGTTGGTTGCCAAAAGATACTCCCAGACAAGTGGTGCTGACTATTGTGAAACATNACTTCCTCTTGAAAATAGCCCGTTAGTTATCATTGGGTCTACGTAGTAATATCTTCCTGATGGCTCCGTCGAGTGTTTAAAGGCTCAGTTGGTTGCCAAAAGATACACCCAGACAAGTGGTGCTGACTATTGTGAAACATTTTTCCCTGTTGCTCGACTTAAATCTGATAGAGTTCTTATTTCGATTGCAGCTTGTCGTGATTAACGCTTGTGCCAACTGTACATAAAGAACGCCTTTTTACATAGAGATTTATAAGAGAAGGTGTACATGGTTCAGCCCCAGGTTATGTTAATTCTGGTAAGGAATAATTAGTATGTCGCCTGAAGAAAGCATTATATGGTTTAAAACAGTCACGTCGCTTGAAGAAAGCATTATATGGTTTAAAACAGTCACGTCGCTTGAAGAAAGCATTATATAGTTTAAAATAGTCATCACATGCTTAGTTTGATATGTTTAGTACTGTAGTCCTTTAGTATGATTTTTAGTGTTCTACTTCAGATCATTCAGTATTTATTCGTCGTTCTATCCGAGGGATTATCATTCTCATCATATTTGTTGATGACATCATCATTACTGATAATGATTGTAATGGTATTGTCAGTTTTAAGCTCTATTTGGGGAATCAGTTTCACATTAAAGGCTTGGGTCTTCTTCGGTACTTCCTTGGAATTGAGGTTGCTCAATCAAAACAAGGTATCAATCTATGCCAATGAAAGTATGTATTGGATTTGTTATCTGAAACTAGTACTCTTGGTGCTCGTCATCTTGATACCCTTATGGATTCTATAGTAAAGTTAAATACTGATAATGGGGAAGTTTTTGATGACACTAAACATTATCAGAGATTGATTGGTAAACTGATCTACCTCAATTACACGTCCCGATATAACATTTGCAATTAGAGTAATTAGTCAGTTTATGTATGCTCCTCGAAAGCCTCATTGAAAAGCTACTTGTTGTATCCTTCGGTTTCTTAAAAGAGCAACCTGAAAAGGATTATTATATCGGTCTTCACAATTTATGACTATTGTTGGTGCCTTTTTGATGCTAGATAGGTATTCGTACTAATAGACAATTTACTTTTGGTTATTGCACATTTGTTGGTGGTAATCTTGTTACTTGGCATAGCAAGAAACATAATGTAGTTACACGTTTAAGTGTAGAGGCAAAATATTGGGCTAGGGCTCACATGACATGTGAAATGTTGTGGGTGTGTGCTTTACTTTGTGATATGGGGATTAGTGTGCCTTGTCCTATGCAAATGTATTGTGATAATCAGGCAGCTATTTTCATTGCCCTTAATCCAGTGTTTTGTGTTTCATGAGCACACCAATCACAAAAGTGGATTGTCATTTTATTCGGGATCTCTTGATGTGAAAGGAGATTATCACTCCATATATCAAGTCTGGTGATCAGTTGGGTGATATTTTTACCAAACCATTGTCTCGTGGTACCTTCAATAATTTTGGTTCTAAGTAGGACATTGTTTATCTTTATGCTCCAGCTTGAGGGGGAATATTAGAATTCTTATTTTTTATGTTTTATATTTATGTCGAGTAATATTGTGATTACCTAAGATAGGGTTCAATATAAATAAGAAAGTGTAGGGCAATACTACTCACACACATTTTTTTCTCTTTCTCTTTCTCATTCTTCTTCTCCTTTTCTCCTAACATAATATTGTACTCTTTACTTTTTAACTGGGTATATATCCTGATGGTGCACCTAGACCAATGGAACACATAATGTCCAAAGTCACATGACAATATCATCGATGTCCCACAACAACCTCTAGTTTTCTCAACTTTATTGCAATCTATGAAGGTTAACTTACATTGTGGCCACCTAGATGAAAGATCAATTCTAATAGTTTTAAGCAAACAAACCAAGAGAAGCTTGTCCACTTATTGAATGTATAGGAAATGGTTCTAAAAGCAGGAAGACAGAGAATGTTGAAAAAAATGGAATAAACAGGGAAAACCAACAAAGTATATTTGCAAGAACCCCACATCATCAATACAAAGCCAAGAAAAAATGGGTCTGTTGGTCTGCCCAAAGGATTTCTCTTGCGATCGACAGACTTAATCCTTTCATAGAGTGATCTCGGGCGACTACTAAATGTTGGGTTCAATTGTCTTGCTTTAGGACTTCCGTGAATTATCACAATAGACATATTCAAAGCAAACAAAATGATAATCAAGCGATTAATAAAAGGAAAGACGCTTTTATTAACCTTAAAAGTTTTCTGGGTTACAACAGACTGATGAAACAATCTTTGAAACTAATTCTACTTCTAAAATTAATCTAAAACTGCTAAAAGAAAAGATCTAAGTCATCGGTCTTTAACGGGTTTGATCGTGTCCTCTCCTTTACAATCAATGCCTATTTATAGGCATCTTTCTATCGACGGTTACACTGGATTTTTCAGCCAGTTTGTCCCCATTTCTTCGTTGTTTTAACTGTTGTTTTTCAAATTTCTTGAGCCCATTAAGTATTAATAATTGCTGTCTTTTCAGATTCCAAAATAACCGCTTCATTCCCTCCATCACAAGGGTTATAATTGCCCTTGAATTTGAACAGGCCACATCGACTGATTGTACACCCTCTTTTGATTAAAGAATGCCATGTAGCAATTCTTTTTGGCTGACTTGTTCATTTTAGATGTGTCATTCATTGCCTATTCACCAAAATTGTAGAATGTGGTCCAAACAGGATCTTTTATGCATGACAACACATACCATTTAAAATCTAAAGTAAACTTCTGCAAGGACTTAAAATCATTGCACATGGGATTCATTCTCTGGAAAGAGTGAGACTTCTAGCTAGTCTTTGTTCATTCATTATCACGAGTTCATAACTTTATGACCATAGAACAGTTGAGCAGGTTGGGTTGCAATACATTAAAGCTGTAGCCAGTCCTAGGGTGCCAATAGTATATGTTTGGGATTGTATATAGCGAGTGGAAAGAATATATCTAATAGCTTAATATGGTGGCCTTAAATTGGGGGGGGGGGGTCTCTTAGTAGTTTTTTATATTATGGAGTTTAATTAGGTAGAGATTGATATTTTTGGTGTAATTGTCTCTTCATTAGATTATGAAAAGACAAATCCCATCAGAAAAGAATTTAAATGGTTAACTTACACTAGTTGCAACAACAGCAACACAATGTGAGAATGATCTAAACTACATGTAAAAAAATTTAAGTTGAAAGAAGGTTTCTTCTGCCGAATCTGCCCCCACCTCCCTTCCCTTGCCCCTGCAGAGCAGTCCCTCATAAGTATTACTATTCTGCATTTCTTGGTTCATCAATCACATTCAGGACAGGGTTATCAGTAAAAAATAATACGTTGAGCAAGGTTTGAATTGTCCGAGTACTATGTAGTTCACTTTATTATGGAAAATGTTCTACTAAGAACGTAACCGAAAAATTGAATGGGGCAAGGAACTTACTTTATTGATCATTCAACAGCTGACCCCAAAAAAGTTGGGGCAAGGCTTTGTTGAGTTGAGTTGATCATTCAACAGAGATCTGGTGTAAAAAACTAGTGAAAGCAGAAGCAATGCATAAATCCAAGATTACATTATACCTGAAAAGCACCACTAACTGTCCATCGGATTTGATTTGACTTGATCTGAGGAATGACAACTGATATCACAGGCATTGTTGGCCTATACTTGGCAATTAATCTGTGCATTAATGTGTAGTGATTTAGAAATTTAATTAGCATATAAACATCAGTCAATATCAAGGGTAGTTTTGGAAAATCATATGCTTTAAGGTTCGAAATATTTGCTTTTAACAAAGAGAATAAAATATTTAACAAAATAACCTTGCAGCTCTTCCTGATGAAGTGAAGCAAATGATAACAGATGCCTTCACCTTGATGGCAGCGCGTACCTAGATTAAACAATAGCAACAATTCAGGTTGTTTCAAATAAGGAACTCCTTCAAAGCACCGTTTACTTAATTAAAGCCCACTTCTAAGAGGCAGTATATAGTACTAAAATTTCCTGGGTAAGAAAAAACAAAAGTGGAATATCACAGCTAAGTACCGCAGAGGAAGTAATTGCTTCTAGGTATGTCATCGGTTCTCCAACATATTTGACAGCCCTCTTAAAATAAAGGTCTTGGTTGTAGACCTTCTCCGCCTGCAGACAGCATTTTAGTTCATGACAATACCTATAGCCAATAATGATGCGGAAAGTAATGGTGAATGTCTTTTGTTCAAGGAATACTGCACATTCAGGAAAATGTGTGATCATTTGCTCCAAGCAGCTGGTCCTGAACATTCATCTTGAAAAGCATACAGAGCAACATGTTTAGTATGGCCGCCCAAGTCTTTACTCCTTGAGAGCAAACTCCTCAACCTTACAGAAAAGGGAAAGGCTTGGCCAGTTTTTTGTTGCAAGAAATAAACAGTATCAGTTTTGATGCAGTTCGATTTCATATAGCATGTGTATCCCATAACTACTTGCTATGCACAGGAAAGTTTCCTGGTGAGGTACATGGGAAAGGGCTCCCCAATGTGGGAACCTGTCTACATCAATGACAGCATGCAGTTCAACTGCACTGCAATGGATCCCTGTTTAGATTGTGGTGGAATTTCAACTGATAAAAAATACTATTCCACCAAGCATGTATAATTTCCAACAGAAAAAGTGACTGTTCAAGAACTTATTAGGTTCTGCATAAAGGGAAATAGACATATAAAGTAGTAACTATATGGCAAGTGCATTCCGAAAAAACCCCATTCCAAAAACATGAGCGCGAACGGAAGAATGCTTTAACATCATCAGGAGAAATTGACTTCATATGAGGATAGGAGATGTATCTACAGAAGCTATTTAGAAAGCAAGACTTGTAAGAAAATGCACATCATAATATGTGAGATACAGGATGACAAAATTGGAGGCAGAGGTTGCAACAGGTCTTGAAGAAAGCTGGCATTGGAAGGAGTAACTGATCAAAATATCAGGCACACAGCTGATTTCAGTCTTTTTATCGTTCCACAACAATAATGATGATTGTGAGGTAGGAGACGGGGAATTTGGGAATGGGTGGTTGAGGGGGATAGAAAGAGAGAGAGGTGTTTCAGACTGGATTTTTTTAACATCTAGAAATAAAGTTGCATGATGACAAGAGCAGGAAAATAGTTAGCGAAAGAAAGCAAGGAAAACCATACCTCAGCACAAATTTTACCAACAACGGAGATAGTCTCAACAGGGTACAAGCCTCGAAGGGTTTCTGCACCTAGAAGAATAGCATCACAGCCTGAACCAAATGAAAAACAACAGAAATATAACTGAAATTTTATCTCATTGTCGTAATGGCTGCTAACAGTGATCTATCACAAAAGGCTCAAAGGGAAAAGCAATATTATCAAAAATCAAGAACAATAACAGTGGTAAAATATTTCTCATGGTACAAAGTACAAATAGAAACAACCACCAACAATAGCAAAAACAAGAAATCCTACATCAGAGAACCAAAAAGTTACCATCCAACACAGCATTTGCAACATCAGTGGCCTCAGCACGAGTGGGTCTTAGGTTGTCGGTCATACTGTCCACAACACGAGTCACTACAGCTGGCTTTCCAGCCATGTTGCACTTGTACACAGCTGCCTTTTGAAATAAAAATACCTGAATATTATTGAGGAAGATTAGCACTAAAATCATGTTAGATTCAACAGAGGAATCTTTCAGTTATCTTTATAGCACAAAGACATGCACACATCAAAGAAAAAAGAAAAATGTAGGAAATTTGTGTGAAAGTTACTCTAATGTAATTACAATTAATAACTTCTTCCATGAGTTAGGTAGACTTCCCACATATGCTTGTTTATGCGCATTGTATTTTGTATTGTTAGCAAATTGATTGTAATTGGCGAATTTCGGTAGGTCAGGTTGCATTTTTATATCTCAACTAAATCCATGATCAAGATGCTTATGAAGATCGAATACTAAAGCAAGATGCGGTGAAGAAGCTCAAGCTTACATTTATAATAGGAAGAAGGCTTCTTGGATCCCATCAAGCTTATTCTAAGGTAAGATGACCTAGATACGTAGTTGCCTTATTTTGGTTTAAATTAGGTTGATAAAATGGATTTAGAACAGTGTTATTCAAACCGGGCAGGCCCAGCAGGTCAACCCNCCTTATTTTGGTTTAAATTAGGTTGATAAAATGGATTTAGAACAGTGTTATTCAAACTGAGCAGGCCCAGCAGGTCAACCTGAAAAACAGTCCAACTGGTGCCTAAGCTGGGCCGATTTACAAATAGGATCATTTATGCAACGAAACCACCTAAGAGCCAGCCAAACCAGACGATTTTTACTAAACCCGTACAGACCAGACGGTTTGCATCAAACCAGAGGACAATTTTTATTCATATTTAAACATTTTTTATACCTTAAAATAGTCACACTAGGCTAAATCTCTTGGCATCATGCCTTCCAACTAGATGTCAACTTTCTGTATTAGCATATATACACCTCCTATAGGCATGCTCCTTCTGTCTTCCTATATCTTTCAGATGTGGGATTAGATGACACTCCAAATTGATAGCCTTGCTTTCTCTTCCATTTTTTATTGGTCTTAGTTATTTGTCTTTTTCTTTCAATTATTTTTTGTTATTACATGCTGCTATTTATGCCAATCTTCAATACCAATTTATGAATTTTTTTGTAGGACATTTGGATATTTTTTGTGTTTTTTGTGTGATCTACTATAACATACAACATATTAGTTCTATAACTATTATAAGTTTTTAGCATATTCATTGTTACTAAAAATTACTTTTTAGTTTTAATTTTATGGCTAGTGATCCATTGACCCGGTCTCTCTACCGAGTCGATGTCCGATCCGGTTTTGATAACTATGATTTAGAGGTGTCCGTATTAAATCCGTAACATGACTCTTGTGTATTTTGTATAAAAATATTTTTTGAAACTGAGGGTTTATTTTTTAAACGTGTTTTAAAATGAGTCATGGGTATGCAGGCTTTTTAGGTACCACCCCTTCATACTTAGGAAGTTGAAAAAGAGCCTTGGTTTAAAAGGAAAACCATTGTATAACGCTCTCGGGAAGTTGGAAAATAGACTGGGCACAAAAAGAGAAAATCAGTACTCAGCGCTTGCTATAGCGCTCGAGCGCTGCATTTTCACGGTTGTAAGAACAATGTTCCAAAAGCCGGCACTCACTGCACTGCTCGAGTGCTGCGTGCGTCATGGACAGACTTTTCTTGTACGCCAATTAACCTCTATTAACCTGTTCATATTAGACATGACCTCAGACTTTCTAAAAATTGTGTCTCAGAATNATTAACCTCTATTAACCTGTTCATATTAGACATGACCTCAGACTTTCTAAAAATTGTCTCAGAAGACTCTAGGGTCTAAGAGAGACTACCAAGACTAAGAAAAACCGGGTTTAAGAGAGACTACCAAGACTTAGAAAAACTTACTTCCAATCAAACCCCAATCCCTACATGATTTACATATAATTCTTAAGATAATTTGAGCAAGAACCTTCATAGATCATGCAAACCACAAAAACCCATGACAAAAAGGATCAAATTAGGCTACCAAGGATCAAAGGAGGATTCCAAAAGAGAAGAAGGTGAATTCCAAGGATGGATCATGGAGTTCGATTCTTTGCTTATTGAAGCTAGTTGTTGAGACTCTCATGAGGGATTTCCAGAGTAAAGATTCAATGGAAGAAACTTCTAGCTATGGTATTAATTGAGGTAAAAGTGTTCAAACATGTAATCAAATTTTGAAATTACTGGATTAGGTTAGGTATACTAGGGTCCCGTGGTTTTCTCGAGAGGGTTTTCACATTAAAATTGCTTGTGTTATATGTCTGTGTTTGCTTTTACATACTAGCAATTTTACCTACCTCCAAGTGTTTGATAAATAGTGTGAGCGAATCTGAATTGTGTTATGGTCGTTCTATTGCCTAAATCAATTTGTGAATTGATGGAAGGGATTGGAGAGATAAGGTTAGTGGATTATGTTTGTTCAACATTGAATTATTTGGTTTTTACACACATTCACTAATTTGGTTATTGGATCAATGTCATTGAGGGGTTAATTGAACTAAACGGTTAATTAAATTGTAATTGAGTGAGATATGTTTTATTTGGGCATAAATTCCGTATTAAAGTGCATAAGACCTATTCAACGATCTCTAATTGGCACTCCCAATACACCTTTTTGCATCCATAGACTGTTGAATATCATAACCATCAAAATATGCTTACCATACTCATATTTCAATTTGATTCCAATTGGGTGCTGTTATAATTTTTTTTCCATGTTCTCAACAATAATATGTATATGTGATGGATTGGTACAAGATTAGCACATGCAAGCCGTTGAATAGCACGACTAACAAAACAAGTGTGCAGTATTAAATGAATTAGAACTTTTCTTTCTTTTATTTTCCTTTTCTGGTCGATCCTTCCCTTCTCTTTTTGTGTATGTTTGAGTGGGTGGACAGAGGGATGGGATGGGTGGATTTGGCGGCAAAATGACATAGTGATGAAAGCTGACCTTCTCTGCTGGGAGATCTATCCCTAGATTTCCACGAGCGAGGATAATACCATCTGCTTCTTGTAGTATCTCGTCGAAATGTTTTAATCCCTGCAGGATCAATGGGAGAAAATGAACTGCAAATTCACATTCAGCTTCAAAATGATGATTTTCAAGTACTTCAAATCTGGTATGCTTCTCACCTCTACATTTTCAATCTTTGCAAAAATTTGAGTTTCATTGAGGTTACCCAATTCAGAAAGATATTCGCGAGCCTGCGTGATAGCAAGAAAAAGCAATACCAAATTGGACAAGAAGATAAAAAATGGTGATACATAAAAAAATCTCAAAATTTACACCATCGATATTATGAGCAAATGGAGAAGACCAAAAATACACAGATGAAGAATAGATTGGAGTATTAAACAAATGGCTCAATGTAAGAAGAAGGAACCATCCTTACACGCCGAACATCTACTGCACTTCTGGTAGATGACAGTGAAAGGAAGTCTACATTGTTTTGAACACCCCAAGTGCTTATAACCTGGAATCAGTTATGAAAGCAGTTAATGGCTACAAAAAGAACCCCTTGNTATTAAACAAATGGCTCAATGTAAGAAGAAGGAACCATCCTTACACGCCGAACATCTTCTGCACTTCTGGTAGATGACAGTGAAAGGAAGTCCACATTGTTTTGAACACCCCAAGTGCTTATAACCTGGAATCAGTTATGCAAGCAGTAAATGGCTACAAAAAGAACCCCTTANAGGAAGTCTACATTGTTTTGAACACCCCAAGTGCTTATAACCTGGAATCAGTTATGAAAGCAGTTAATGGCTACAAAAAGAACCCCTTAGAAGGGAAAATCTAGCCAACTTTCGAGACAGTTGGGGCCAAACAAACTGTACAGATTTAATATCACTCAGTTATATACAGCAAACATGAAATTTTAACACCAAAAATACTTCTAAGAAGCCTTAGCAGATCATCGCATCATTATTGAAGAAATGTCATAAATAGCAATAGTCCTTTAGTACTGGATGATGAACACAAGCATCATCAATATTTTAGGATAAAAGAAATAGGTAACATTTCTCTTCTCTACAAAAAGTTCTAGGACTATGTAATCCACAGNCTTTAGTACTGGATGATGAACACAAGCATCATCAATATTTTAGGATAAAAGAAATAGATAACATTTCTCTTCTCTACAAAAAGTTCTAGGACTATGTAATCCACAGTTCTTTTTGGATACCATGCAATGTAAAGGAACCTAACCTTTTCCTACACAGTTGGGTAAAGTGGCACAGATTACATGCATGCATGCAGTAAGACTCGTTCTTTAAACAATAAATGTCCAATGCAACTAGAACAATTTACCTCCTTATCTTTATCCGTGAGGGTTGGCAGATCAATGGGAATTTGAGAGACATGTAATGTGTACAATGACTGNTAAAGTGGCACAGATTACATGCATGCATGCAGTAAGACTCGTTCTTTAAACAATAAATGTCCAATGCAACTAGAACAATTTACCTCCTTATCTTTATCCGTGAGGGTGGGCAGATCAATGGGAATTTGAGAGACATGTAATGTGTACAATGACTGATCCAAGGTGGCGGAATTCTTTATGAGACACACCACATCCTCCCCTTTCACCTCTTTTACCTACATCATATAAATGGAACTTCAAGAATTACATAAGTCTAGAACATCCAACAATTACTGATGAAACTTTATTCAGTTTTCAAATGGAAGATTAAAAACCTTTTAGAATTATCACAATAGCGATTTTCAATAAGAATATAAAGGCACCCACATCCCAATAAGGATTTCAACCCTGCACCTCCCCTCTAAAGGTGGCTGGACATACCAGTCATGCTACCCACTTGTGGGCAAAATTGTTGCATTATTCTTTTCTTAAGTGAAAAACAAGAATTGAAAGCAGAACCCCCAATGCCACCATTATAAAAGATTCATTGACCACTGTGCTATGTTGGCATCAGCATGTTGTCATACTTTAATTGTGAACTTGTATGAAAAAGAGTCCCGGAAATGTGCAGAGCAGCAGCCCATAACACTAACCCTCTAAGGATGAGAAAAACAAGAAAGCAGTGAATTTGACATGTCTACTAAAACTTGACTTAATATAATCAAACTCTTTCTCAAGTTGCCAAAGATATCATATATCTGGGCTCATTAATAATCAATCTCGTCGATGTTACCTCCAACCAGACAGAAGTTGTTTCTTTTCCTGTAAACAAATACTGTCCAATGAAAATAGTGTCTCCCGTCTTTACCGCCTGCAAAGACCAAAAATTTGGCCACAGACCATGATTATTGTGCAAACAAAGAGCAGAAAGCAAACACAAGATAAAGAGAAAGTGCATTACTGCTTGCCCTTCAGTATACTTTCATGATTTGTTAAAAGAGAAAAGCTTGCATATGTGGAAAACATAAAATCCCTTAGTCTGCAAAAGCTATGGAGCGCCCCTAACTCCATTATTGTTGCAAAAAAGCTCATGTTGTCAAACGTGAGAAAACATATTCGAGTTTGAACGGAGCTACTTCATGCGAGTAACGCAAAATTAGGTCCTCATGAAGTCCACCTCTCCTAAACCCGATAATAACAGACCAACACTTGGTATTGGCATCCATGTTTTTCTCCTCTCTCCTATTTTCAGATATAGAATCACATATTTTTGTGTGGTTGATATAAAAAGTAAGAACACCTAAAAAGCTCGAGAATCATAAACCGTGATATCATTATACAACTAGCATTAGAATGTCTACATTGAGGTAACATCATAACAACCATGAGCTCATCTTTTGCTTTTTTAAGGCAACGTAAATTATGCATCTGCAAGGGCAGCTCCATTATTTGGCGAAGGCAAGTTGTTGAATATGAACTAGCTATTTCATACCTTTGGTCATATTTTTAAGACTTGCAGTTCCCTCATCATATAAACACATACGTGCAGCTACACACTTCGAAAAATTTCAGAACTAACTGAAACACATGCCCATTCAAATATTCACCTTTGATAGATCACTAAAATTGATCGGCAATTGATCCGAAGTAGCTTCTCTTTGTTGATCTGGTGTTAGAACAACAAAAGAATCANAAACACATGCCCATTCAAATATTCACCTTTGATAGATCACTAAAATTGATCGGCAATCGATCCGAAGTAGCTTCTCTTTGTTGATCTGGTGTTAGAACAACAAAAGAATCAGCCTGAAGGGAAATGGGATGCTTGGATTTGTTTACAACTTGTAACTCTGGACCCACAGTGTCCAACATTACCTGGAAAAAGGAAGATTATAAGCTCTACATCCTAAATTCATGGGGTGAGGAAACAAACTATCCACAGAAGCAACACGAAGTGAAAAACATAGACTTTAATCGGTCAATGTTTGGACACAAAAACAACAAGCTTACTGCACACAGCTTCTTTGTACCCTTGATGGCCATCTTTAAATTTTCCAATGACCCTTGGTGAAATTGGGGGTCACCCCACGAAAAATCAAAGCGAGCCACTGAAAGGGAAAAAATAAGGAAAATGAGAATGATAAATCCAGAGGCATGAACAAATTCAACTCTGAGATTAACCTCTATATAATTATTGTTCAGCTCATTTTAATAAAAGAGGCACATAAAATAATTTTAGGCTGAGGTAATCAGAAAAACAAACAAGTCAGTGCAATTTCAGGCCTTCAGAACGATATTTTTTTTTTTTTTTCAAAAGCAAACTGAAAAACTCAAGTAAATTAATGCAGCATTAGGATAATTCTCAGTTAAACTAGTATATGTAAATTTTTATTTTTACATTTCATTAAAACTGAACTGCATTATGTCATCAAGCAATATGAACATGATCACCCGCGCACACACACATAACGATACAGTAAGTGGAACCAAAAAAAAAAACGAATACCAGACATTCCAGCTTTGAGGCAGCTAGAAATAACCTCCACGGATCTCGATTTCGGGCCAAGCGTTCCAACAATCTTCGTCATTGCCGGAAAGAAACTCTACAAATCCACAAAATTCATTCGATTCAGTTCAACATGGCCACAGGATCAAACACTCGTTACAAAATTTTCAATCACCTAAAAACGTTGATGAGCTGAAGAACAAAAAGGAACAACTTCACGCTCATTTCTCACATATATAAACACCCGGGATATATTTCCTGTAGTGGGAATCGGTACTTACAGGCTTCGAAGGCTGGAGAATTGAAGCCATGCGTATAGGTTCTTCGAGGAGTAAGTGATTCGAATGCATTTTCGATGTTCAATTCTGGCGATCGGTCTTGCACCAAAAAGAACGGCAAACAGAGCTCAGAGTATGGTCAGAGAGAGAGAGAATGTGTGTGTCTTATTGGCAGTCTGTGAAGTATGGTCAGAGAGAGAGAAGTGAGTGTGTGTGTGTTATTGGCAGTCTCGCTGCTCTATCCACGCCACCTCCGATTCCTTCCATCATTGGATACTCTCTCTCTCTAGTGCGCGCGCGCATACACACGCGAAGGCTTTCTTGTTTATTACTGCGCTAATCGACTCTTCTTTACCATTTTTTAGCATAAATTTCATCAGCACCCCTTAATTTTTGGAAAAATTGAAAGAAAACGCCTCAACATTTGAAAAACAACAAAGAACAAAGACCTATTATTAAAAACTAGCAATAACTGGGCATGATGTCACTCTATAAATATCAAAAATTGAGCATTGATCATATAAAATTTATATTTTAAATAATAATTGATTTATTTTTTTAATTATATAATTTAAAATTAAAATTTTAAAAAAAAGAGAGAGAGATAGGTGCAGACTAGTGGGTGTTGGAGAGTGTGTCAATTGAGTTGTCTGGTGTTGAAGTTCGTAACGAAAATATGATATTTTTTAGCAAAAAAAAAATTTGTGATGAGTTTAGTACCAATGGATCGAAATAGATAAAAATTAAACCAATATTGACTATTTTTTTTGTATTTATAAGTTGAGAATTCAACTTAAAAATATTAGATATATTTTGTAAGTGATGATCGATTAATAAAAAATGAAGTTGGGATATACTCCTCGCTCCCCCGCTCTCTCCCATTATTGAATCCAACACACATGCCAAGTCTCATATGTTATCCAGTCCGATAACATCTAAACTTATGCCCTAAATATAAAGATACATCAACAATGCTATGATAATCAAGATGTTTTACCAAGATGTTTTACCAAGTTTTTCATCCCGAGTAATGAGACATAGTTTTCACCATCAAATAAGTAAATTTTATTGATGATTGTCTCACATCACTTAAGATAAAAATTTTAGTAAAAATTTTGATAAGCATAACATTATTGTACATTATAACATGATCCAATCTAATTCTAGCATTTCCTAAATCTATTTGTGCCCCCTTCCCCCTTATATATAGTTAGGCTTAAATAAGAAGCTTCATCTTTTATCACCCTTTTGTTAAATCTAGTCCATCTCTCAATCTTCGAATCTCTTTGTCCCACTGAGCATCTTTTTAGTAAAACTTCTCTTTCACAAAAAAAGAAAGACCGTCTTCCTTCTAGGATTGTTGCTCATAAAAAGGGTATCCTAAATGGTCAATTCTTGCTTATAAGTTTCGAATCAATGTTATTAGAATTGGATCGGACATCAAACCGACAGAGGGATTGGGTCAATAGTGCACTGATTTAACCGTTTGGTCAACTGATTGGACATCAAAAAAATTATAAAATATAACAATTTAACTAAAAAAATAATAAGTTCATAAAATTCAATGTGTGAGAGAGAAAGTAGTAAAGAACAATCAATGCCACCTGGTGAGATAGAAATGAGAGAGCTTTTATTTAAAGAATGTGAAAGGACCATTTGTCGTACTCACATTTCACAGAGAGAGAGAGACGACTTAACAAGGAGAGATGGAAGATGTCGTCATAGTCTGGAGAAAGAAGGAACTCGTTACAAGATTTCTGATGTCGTCTTGCCTAGATCTTGTTGTCGTTGCTTGCTGAGAGTTGTGCTAAGAGAAGGAAGGCTTGAACTGTTGTTTGAGTGAAATTCTAACCGTCTAATTTTCAGAACCTGTCTAGTTCACCGATTTTCATAAAACACTAGCTAGTTTAATGGTTGAAAGACGATTCTCATGCCTATGCGGTCCAACTCAAGAACCGGACCATTCTAGGTCTCGGTTCACGGTCTAACCGATTCAATCGATCGGTCCGATTCGGTTCTAATAACATTACTTCGTATAACTGAAAAAAAGGAGATTCTTTGTCCTTGGAATGACGAATGAAGAAAGCTTTTTAAGACATATGCGCATTGTAGTACCGAACAAATGCCACCGTCATTGCCTCCTTTAATATCACCTCTAACCTCCAATGCCAAAATGATGCTTCTTCAAGGGTTCCATTATTTATCCCACTTTGCTCATCTAATGGTTTATCACTTAGCCCGACTTTTTGGCTTCTTGTATACAAACAGGGGCGGCGCCAGGAATATTAATGAGGAGAGCAAAATATAATGATACAAAAAAATATTTAGTCAAAATTGATACAAAAAAATTCAGTTCAAGAATGACAAAAAAAGTAAAAAACAGGACAAAATTATTGTGAAATAGTAAATTCAATTTTTATTTAGCCGAAACAAAATCCTAACAAAAAGATACAAAATAATTTTTTTAGTATATTTTAACCTAATTATATATTTCAACAGAATATAAAAAATTTTAAAATCTCTAAAATTTTGTATATGAATTAAATGTAAATTGATTTTTCACTAATTTTTTATCAATGCGTGCAATCACAATTTCCGTACTAAAATTATTCTTTATTTAGTTGCAAAATTTAGTTGAAATCATTATCAATCTTATAGAGAAATAACCTATTCGAAATAGCTTGAAATTTTTTTAGGTTACAATTTTTTGCCTGTTATATACAATTGTATTTTTATGAGGTTATAGACTACTATTACTAAAAAATTGGTAAATAAAAATTGAAAATTGTTCTTAAAAAGTAACGAACATTATGTTACATAAAGAGAGATATAGTATTTTTGTCAATATACAAATAGATCATGACAGTCACATCTGATTGATTCAATCCAAAACTAACATATTTATTTTAGAGGGTTAATAGACCATTAATTTATTGAAAAAAATAAAAAATTAGAACCATTATTAAAATTTTCAAAAATTTAGGAGGACAAATACAATGTATAAAATAATCTTATGGGTCCTCATCTAAGATGACCCATAAGTGAGGGAGGGCAAGTGCCCACCCTGATTCCTATACAACTCCGCCCATGGATTCAAACATCATACAACGAGCATAAGTTATCTTTGCAAAGTTTTTTCAAACTAGTCATTATTTAAATGTGGGACGTGCGTTTAACCCTTCGAGGAGAAATGCTCCCTCTT